GAGACAGAAGTAGGTAGTAGTTATAACTGTGAAAGTACAACTCCAGGATTCCATAATCTAAAAACGCAGGAATGATTAGTATATTCAAGGTCTATAGGCATAGAACAAAATTTGAAGTTTCTATTTAGGCCGAACACCATCAGACACTGCGGAATAACCGCATACCTCACGCATAAATGGATGTTGTAATTTAGCACCCTAGCAGCACATGTACTAGCTAAAAGCCCAAACACGTGTTTCTTCTGTAGTCTGTCACTGCATAACATAGCTGCGAGGGTCCTACTCGGCAGTGGGTCCCTCAGCTTTTCTTGTCTGCTTTATGGTTGATATACCGGTTTTGAAAGTTCAGAGGTTCAACTTAGGCTATAGGCCTTTAATGTACTAAACTGTGCAGAAATCAATTTCGAAGGAAATCAAAAAGCTGAACTTTCAAAGCCGAAAGCTGGGGGATCCATTGACGAGCCGCACCCTCGCGGCTGTGTCAAGGAGCGGCAGAATACTGGCAAAACACGTGTCTGGTCCTTTTAGCTAGCACCTAGGCTGTTAGTATGGTAAGTTACAAAATCAGTATATACTACTACACTCTGTCCGTTGACAGCAGGTTTCAGCCCAAACATAAAAATTACAATTACGGTCTATGCCTTTAGACCTTAAATATGCTTATGTGTACCGCGACCGGAAATTAATGTCTAAGGAACTTAAAAAGCTGAACTTTCAAATCGGTATAATGACCAGAAAGCAACTAGGGAAAGCTGGGGGACCCACTGATGAGCCGGTCGGAGAGCGCCAGACTACGGCTGTTAATAGTTTCCATCGAAATCAACAGGAAAACTAGTCTATGGTTCCACGGTTAGAGGGTTGAACTTCTAGCTAACAAGTCCCTGGTTCGGTCCTCATGTTTTGCAACATCTGCACTTGGATGCAGTTGGTTGAAAGCAACTACTTAACGAGAAATTGTCTCTAGTCGCCCTTGCATTTGTCAGTAATGTTCTTCTACACATCTCTATGCCAACTGAGGGTCTTTGTGCGAGCGTTGCAACCGCCCTGACCAACGGCTATTTCCTCCGATGTCGATTATGACGAGAAGTTACTTCCTGTCCACTTCCATAAGATCGCTGTTGATTTAGACACAGAACATGGAGTACCTGACTACTTTTTTTACAATTTTAATTTTTTATTGTAGACCTACATTCAAGCCATCCCAAATCTCCTCACCATCGCCGGTAACGATGAGCATTGCTGCATAGCCAGCAAAATTGGGACATCGGCATCCTCGGTGAGTGGCAACTATATACTTTGCATCATAAGATAAACCTGAAAGTAAGAAGAAGAAAAAGGCCCGATTGCTGGGACAATACTTTTATTCGCCTGACGTTTCGACATCCGTCGCGGAT